CCCTGGGATCATGACCTGAGCCGAAGGCAGACGCTTAACCGACTGAGCCACCCAGGCGCCCTTTTTTTTTTTAAGATTTTATTTAAGGGACTGATTTCATCTCATTTATACATATTGGGTCCACCTTACATCTCTCTGATAAAAGCTAGTTCCTTAAAGTTATCCATTCATCTACGGTACTGTGCACGCCTGTTTGGATTCAGCTGTCAACGCTTCATACATGTGAAATCAACCCGTGTGATATTAAGGTAAACATTGCGCATTACAAACTGGTGGACATTTTATTGTTCTAACAGGGAAAATAGACAAAATGTTTGCACGTGCATCTGTTTTCTCTACAGCACAGACAATAATATAATATACATGACGGTATCTGTTTTACAAAAGAGGAATCAAATTATAAAAAGAGGTAAAAGCAAGGTGGGGGGCGGTTGCAGAATGCCTCACATTCAGAGATCCTACCAGGACAGTGGGGGCAGGAATTACGCGTAGCGTAAAGATTGTCACGAGAAGAACAGTCAATCCTGATGTCACTTTGCCCTCATTATTATAATCTCATTTCCTTATTGCATGTGCAACACAGCCAGTCTTCACAATGCTTTAGTTTCAAAAATAGTCAATTCTCTTGTGCTGAGAAAAGAGCACACCACCTTTAAGAGCATTGTCACTGACAAGACGGAAGGATTCAGGCAGGATGTTGAGGCTGAAGCTTTTCAATCACCTGCCATTAATATGATTCAATTTATGCTTATGTCATAGGCTTAAACATTGCACAGTGCTGTAAAGCAGGGAAGGGACTTGAATAAAATACAGGGAAGAAAGCAGATGGTACGCTATCAAAACCCTTCAAGCCTAAAATAACCTTTCCCAAGTAAGGAGGATAGTTAATTAAAGCCAGGATATATTTACTCTATTCTGAATATCTCAATGTAAATAAAAATCAAAATGACACCACTGTAATGTGGGACTAAATGATGAAATTTCATCTATTCTATTTTTCTTTAATAGTTTCTAATCAAACTTTTCATTAAACAGCTTCATAAAATTCCACGGAGAATTTATTTATAGGGATTCACTGTAGATTTAAAAGCCTTACTTATTCAATTAAACTTGTTATTCAGTGGACAACATTGAAACAATGGGGGGAGGGGGAAGGTGTCTGAGCAGTTGGGAAAGGTCGTCATACAAGAGAAAATGTGGATCATCCCCGCCCAGGAAAGCCCAGTTCCAGAGCCACTGCCTGGGTTTGTCCCAGCCTTGGTCCACGGACTCATATTCACGTTCTCCTGGTAGAGAGGGCACCAGAGCATTTATTAAGGGTAAACAAACCTAGGGGAGGCCAACAGTTGACCCACGGTGAAGGCAGCCATTCCCAATGTGGAGAGTCAGGACATGAATTACAAGTGACCTAGGTATTTCCAAAACTTTTCTATTAGCCTTTCTCCCCTAGCATTTAATACCAGACCCAGTCCTGCCTTATTCATGAAGCGTTCCCTGACCCCTCCCATGATCACCGCCCCTCCCCGCCAGCAGCCCCGCTGCTAAATTCCTCCTGCCCTTGCTTTCTCCAACACTCACCAAATACTTAATCATTGACTTTCTTGTAACATTAGTTAACCTTTCAGGTGCGTTAATCCTGTCTTCCCCAATTAGATTTCTAAATCCTCCAAACAAGCAAGAACTGTGTTTTATTTATCTTTTGAACACCTTCTCCTGCCCCCACTCCATAATCCCATTTAATAGAAGAAAGCAAAAAATATATTAGTTAATAAAATAAACATTATTTAATCATAGGAAAGCAGACACTGTCCTTTTGAGAAGGGCCTTGCAGGTACTTTATGGCAATTTATGAATTTCATGTGTCAAAGGTGTAGCTGCTAAATGCTATAAACTCTTTGCCATCAGCTCCGCCATTCATCCACCTGGTGATATGGCTAATAAAATTTGATTTTTACAGCCTAGGCATACTGTTACCTAAATTACATTTGACCAATTACTGAAGTCACCAAACGTGTGGTACAGAATATATACTGTGTAGAAAATTCATCTGTGGGCCCCCTGGCACCCACGGTAATCTGACAGAAGTGTTTCGGTCATCTGGCAGTGTTTAATATTAGGAACATTTGTTTAATGCTAGTCACTAATTAAATTTATGTTCTTCTACCAACTGTTAGTTGGTTGGAGAAACCCAACCCCACGTTTTAACAAACCCTTTAGCCTGTGTTGATTTCAAATACAACTAGTTGGAGGTTTAAAAGGGTGATCTCTGGAAATTTAGATGGAGAACCAAGAGTGGATGGTGGGGGAGGCATGTGGGCGAAGGTGTTCAAATCAGGTCAAAAATAAGTTTTTTTTGGGGGGGGGTTCACTTACTAAAAAAAAATACTACACAAAATACAAACTGTTTGAAGTACAAACTCAAATAAAAGAAAAACCTAATATTCTAATTATTAAACTAGCCATCTAGAAGCTCTTTAAAGGTACCTTTATTCCAAAAGAAAGTTTCCACTTTAAGAGGCTGGAGAAGAAAAACAGCATTAAAATTAGCTTTACCAGAAGAAAAGTTCAGGAAAACATTCAAAAGTCAGATGCTTGTGTTTGTGAGAACATTTAAAACTAATTTAGTAACTCTTAACAACCATTGTGATCACTGTTAAATTGGAACTTCTTTCTATTACCAATTCCAGACGCAACAGCTTTGAAGCTCAATGACTAATAACTCTTAAATTAGCCAAAAAGGTTAAAACATTTTTCATTATGTTACATTGTGATACTCTAACTCTGACTAGTCTTAAATGAGGGAAAGCATTCTTTCAGTTTTATTTTGTGTCAGGAATTTACAGACCTCTTGAGGGGCAAGCAGGTCAGAGGGTTTGGGAGTAGGGGAGAAGGGGAGAAAACCCCTCAAAACAGAAGTATTAAAAAGGGTCGATTTGTAAATGCTGATCTGAAAAGAGAGGGTATTTTTTGAAAAGATGTATTGGATACATTCATCTACTTGAATACAACGGTTATCTGAGTATTAAAAATATGACACTAAATTCTTCTTGGAAGAAGGGATAAATAACTTGTATAAACACTACTATTCTCTTCTAGACCGACGGTCATTTGGTAAGGCAGAGTTGTGAAAGGCATCCGAAAAAAAAGTTTATAAGGAAAAAAATGCCACGTCCAATGAACTGAGGTCCCCTTCCTCTTTCCTCCCTTCCTTCTTGGATCATCCCCTCACGCTCACCACTACTTACAAGCCCCCTATAGCAGGTAGAGGGCTACTGGGGTCAGGAATAATCAGATTAGAGAGGCCACGGTGGATTTCCCAAACCATGTTGGGGCCTGTAATAGTTAAGCAGAATAATCTGATCTGAATAATCCACAAACTGGGGAGCCTTGGGAAAACCTTAGCCAACAAAATCAAGTAATGTTCCAACTCAAAATGACCCCATCAGTGCTCTCTCTGGGCCATGGGTCTCACCTCTTCTCCGCCCAGGTCCCCATTTAGCATGGGTCAGCCATCACTTTGGTTGTGCCATGGTGGCAAATCCCAAAGAAGGGGTAGGGCGAGGTGGCGGTGGGGAGAAGGTCTCATGCCTCTGTAAGTACAGGAATTTCCAAGGAACATGTCTAGCCTGATAAAGCACCCCCAGGGTATTCTGATATCCCTGCCCAGCCTGTTGAGAACCACTGATACGATCCAATCTCTTCAACAAACAGATGAGAAACTGAAGATGTGAGGGATGTGATCCTGGCTTGCCTCCAGCCATTCACTGCATCAAGCAAAGGCTCCCAAACCTATGATATATCTTCTCCTTTGCTTCTATCTATAGAGACACATGACTGATCAGCTAGGAGAGATGCAGATAAAATTATGTGTGCATATATCCATCTTTGGGGGGCACAGTGTATAAAGATATATATATATATAATATATCTGAATATAGGTAGATATATAAATATCTATACATATTTTTATACACTGTGCCCCCCAAGGATGGATATATATATGTGTATCCATACATGTACATGAAAAAATTAAGGGGCGTAGGGATCTATCTATCATCAATCTATCTGTTCACCTTATAGTACTGAAGTGGTTACAACTGGTGCATTTTTATAGTTCCTTATCACACTGAAAAGGGAGTGATCAGTTAAAAAAAAAAGTCAGTATCTGAATAGCCAAAGCCTTTTAGGAAAGAACGAACATGAAAGCCTCCTGTCCTAAAGTCCAATTTCAAGGTCGACCAAGCAACTTCAGACCCTATACTGAACAACAAATTCTAAATAATTACCCTTTACCCTGGCCAACAGAGGCTGCCCAGGAGGCGATGATGCTTTATGCCACGATAATTGGGGGGGGGGGGGTGGCACACAGAGCTGGTGAAAATAAGCTTGCTCCCATCACCACTCTTCACAAGAACCCAAAGCAAGAAACACACAAGCACAAGTTTCACGTAGGAAAACAGGCAAACAAAAGAAAGACTCACCAAACTCATCGCATATACTCTCATTTTCAATGAGCGTCGGGTGGTCAAAGGTGTCCCGACAGTACAGGATCTGGGGGTTCTTGCTGACCACGGCGATGCCCCCCAGGGCTAGCGCAAACTGGTCTGTTAAAATGGAAGATGGCTCATCCTGGATGCGCTTCAGCATCGATCGATACCGGCAGTACTGAGGGTAGCTGAGAACGATCACGTTCATTTCTTCCTCGTCGTCCCCTAGACAAACAAGAAAACACTTCCGTTACCCTCTTGCCTCCCACAAAGAACTGTCATGGCCGTGGCATAATTGCAACTGTCACTCTGCTTTGGTATGAAAACATGTCTTCAGTGTGACCCTGATAGCCGTTCATCTTTCTCCCATTATGGCGGCATTCTCCCAGCCTCACCTCGCCACCCCCGTTCCACTAAAAAAGCCTCGGGTTACCAGCAGAGAAGAGAAAAGGTGGAGAGAAGAGAGAGTCGGAGTGACCCCAGAGACAGATTATGTGAGGTTTGGGTCATCAGCAAGCTGCAGAACCACAAAACTGTTTTTCAAAGAGTCTGATACATATTTCAAGCGCTAAAGTCATCATCACAAGAATTTTGTTGAGCTTCTGTCTACATAAATTTCCAGAGCCTGCTCTTTCTTTAGATTATATAATCCTTCAGTGCTAGAAGGCCCTGAAAAGGTCATGTGGCCCCAGAGAGACGTCCATAAGTTCAAATAGCATCACCATCTAATCTGGTGGTGGTTAGGGCTGTTCAACAAATATTTCTGGTTCTCTTTACGGTCTTGTGGAAAGACCACACATCCTGGCCCATTGGAGTCAAGTGGCCCTGTGACTTGTTGTGGCCAATAAAATATGACAGGAGTAAGTGGCGACCTTAGGGGCCAGTGTTTGACTGACAACACTCTCTCTTTTCCTTCATCCTGGGCACCTGTCATGAGTCAGATAGCAGCTGGGCTGCCAGTCAGGGTCTTGGAACAAGAGCCACGCGGAGCAGAGCCCCTCGTCAGTCCGCAACGGACATAGACACAAGCACAAAGGAAACCTTTGTTGTTTTAAGTGAGGCTGTGATCTGGGGGTTATTTGTTTTTGCAGCATGATCCATCCCGACTTGATTGATACATCCACCTTCCTTGCCCTCCCTCCTTCCCATGCTCCCTATTTTCTAATGTGCCTCAAACCCATCTGGTAACTTGGCACAACTCAGAGAACCATGCTGAGAGGACTCCCCAAGCGTCCTGTGACAGCTCCATCAGAACCAACTTAGCTCAGAACGTTTCAGCAACTTTCACGAAGCTCCCTTTTACCGCTTATCTGCACCTCACGATATTAAGTGCTTATTTATAAAAACCAGATTCGGCCTGGAGGACCCCTTCCTTCATCTTAAGCTTGAGAAATGGCAAAAGCTCCCCTTTGGTAGCCTGCCACCTGCAACACGTCACGCTGAATTTCGGCTCCATGACCTAGTCTGCCATCACTCCCTATAACCACACCATCAGGGCGTTTGTAAGCAATTCCCAGATATGTCACTGGCTTATCCAAAGGGAAAACACTCCATATTTTGAGCTCTTACCGTGCTGCAGGGAATTGCACAAGACAGTTGTTAAGGATACCAACATTATCGTGGCCATCTGGTAACCAGTGGGAGACAAATGAGGAAGGACAGAACAAATGATGGAATCTAACCAGTACCATGGAAGGTGTGCATGTGACCTTCTCAGATAGGAGGCCAATACCCAGATGTATTTCTAATTATGTTCACTTAGTTCCTCAGGCTGGAGGCTTCTTCGAGAATGGAGATGTTTAGCTGCTTTCGAGATGACATCTTTTAACAGTTTACATTTCTTAGACTCCTGCCTGGTCTGTGGGTAGCCACTTTGTCAGCTGGCATATTTAATTACAAGGAAATATGTTTACATTGAACGCAAGTCCCCAAATGAAGTTCAGTTTTGAAATGCTGATATACGTCCCAAGACATTTCAGTTTGAGATTTTTACCGCAGACCAAGACACAAGTTCACACTTTGGGTTCAAATCTGTGCTTTCTAGAAGAGCTAAAGCACAAAACATTTGACTGGAAATTTTCACCAAACATCATCAGAACTCCAGAGTACCTAAGTCCTATTCGAAGAAGCAGCCCCCGAATGTGTCGATGGTATTATTATCCTCTATTTGTCCAAGACACCGTGGATGAGGGAGAGGGGCGTAACCACGAACCCCCAGGGCTTGTATCGGAATGCTCAGCATCTAAGACCGTCTCCTGCATACTGTGCAAATCAGCACACAGCTCCCACCATTCTATCTTGGTTGTGCTACTGGCTTTCTGTACTGGAGGGACGGCTGTGTTGGTTCCTCCAAGTTCTTGGGATGGAGGAAGTTCTGCTTTTCAGGCGGAATGACGGCAAAAGAATAGATCCTTCAGAGTTCATTTTCTAGCAGAAGATGTCACCTGGATTCTTGGGAGCATTTCACTTCCTTCTTGTCCCCTCATTCTCCTCCTGTTTTTCTCCAACCATTTTTCTTTTTAAGATTTTATTTATTTATTTGACAGAGAGAGACAGAAGCGAGAGAAGGAACACAAGCAGGGGGAGTGGGAGAGGGAGAAGCAGGCTTTCCGCTGAGCAGGGAGCCCGATGTGGGGCTCGATCCCAGGACCCTGGGATCAT